ACATGTTGAGAAAAAAAATACTACTGTCTCGTCCACTGGTTTGGCGATTTTATCCCACCAATTTTTCATCCGAGCTGCCGTTTTGCCTTCAGTTTCCTCTTCATAATTGCCCAGTCGTTTTCAATGGGCCTGAACTGAGGACAATTGGGCGGAGTGAGGGTTTTCGGAACAAACTGTACTCCGTTGTCATTGTACCATTGTTGTACTTCCCGGCTGCAGTGCAAGATCCGGCCAAAATGTCACCGGGCCATCATGTGACTTGGATGAAAGGCAGAATTCGCTTCTGGAGACATTCGATTTTGTAAATCTTCCACACCTGTGTAGGATATTGTACCCATTCAAAAACACATGGGCCAGTACCAACGGCTTTACTTCCCTTCCAAAGGAAGACCGTGACCAAAGATTTTTATGCCTCAGAAAAATCATACCGACCTCAGCTGGGATTGTACTCAGACCCATTGGTTGAGAAAGCAGCCACGGCTACGCTCCTCTTGCATCGGTCTCCAAAATAAGCGCGTTTTATGAACTGGAAGAATACGCTGTTATTGTTTTTGTTGTTGTCAACAAATTGAAGTCAGAAGCTTCCGAAAACGTCCACTAAGAGCGCTGTAATAATCTCTTTTGCTTATAGCGAATTCGATAATTTTGCAGTTCCAACCTGGATCGGGTATCAAGATTGGGTCTGCTTGTTTTCTGACAAACGTCAGTTTGATCGTTTGTTTTTAAAACCCAGCTCAGGTTGAGGTTCGCACTGACAAAAAGTTCGGTTTCGCACTGGGTTGGAGCTGGTTCCAACCCCGATAGTAAAATAATTTGCTATTAGATTGTTCCATTACTAATGCCGTTTTAGTTTCAAGCGAACCCTCACCCGGGTTGCAACCTAAGAGCTGTCAAACTGATAGTTTGAACGCCGGTTACCAACCTAGGTTCACCACCAAGCTACCTGAAAAACGATTAGATTCGAACCCGAATTTTTTTCGAGGTTCATCAGTGTCACGCATACATTCAAAATTTATGGTATGGGTTAAAGTCAAAAAGGTAAACAACAAAAAATCAGTCAGACAGAAAATATTGAATTGTTATGAACTTCTAAATCAATTTTTACCTTCCGATAGTATTCAGGTCTTTTTCGGCCCAAATGCGCTATTCAAATGACTGTATCTCTGAAGCCAAAAGCTCGATTATCTTGAAATTTGGTGACTTTTCCAAACTTCTGGTAACGTTTCAATAGTTTTTGAACACGTACAGTATCTCAGAATAAAAAAAAAAAGACACACACCCGGTTTCTGGGTCTTTTAAGATCCAATATTGATTCTGCTATAAAATTCATAATATGAGTGCAATTTGCAATATAACTGCAGCAATAGGCGTGCAAGACATCTAACTGCACAAACCTCTTTTTACCATTTATGCGGTCAGAATTCCATTTGGTCATCATGACCGCACGGAACCAACTACAAACCGGAGTGGGTCCGGGAAAATGGAAACCGGCTGTTCTGCGAAGATTTTTTTTTTTGAAAATATGATGCTGCCCCATATGCCATATGAGCCATATGAGACATCGATTACTCCGGGAGAAGAAGTCTCCAGAAGATCCAGAACACCCCCAAATCCTCGCGATTTTTTTTTCAAATGTCGATTTACTTTACTTGAATAGTTACATACGATGTGTAAACATTATTTGGACCATCCATGGCCTCACGCTGGTCCTCCAGAAAAGCCGGAACATCCGTTAACAGCTAGAAGCCCAAGGCTGTAAACAGCGTATCGATTCATGTTAGCATGGTTGGTTCATGGCATTGTGATCATCTATTTTTGTAATTTAACCATTCGACAGATATAGGTAGACGAGGCTCGGTAGCTCAGTGGTTACCGTTTCTGCTTACTGAGCAGAAGGTCGGGAGTTCAATCCCAGGCCCGTTCTCTTCCTTGCAATTTTTCACTTTGCCTTATTCTATACCCACTAGATTTTAATGAAAACAAATTCTTCTTTAACACCGATCGCATCACTTACCACAGTGTGGGTCCTGATCTAAAAATAGAAATTGGATGAGTGCGCGCGAGTGTGTGGGTGTGTTTGTGTATTATAATCGCTTTACCAAAAAACGATCCCTGCGTGTGCGTGCAACCTTTCCCCCCAACATCCAACATCCCAGTGATTTCTCGTGGAAGCGCAGAGGATTTCTCGGTTTCCTTCACAGCGAGTACCACGTCAACACATTCCTTCCCATTCCCTAGTTGACCTGCATTCGGACACGGCCGGCGCTGGTATTGCTTAATATTAGATCTCCAGTTCTTACACACTGAGGATGAATGTTAGTCCCAAACATCATCTGTTGGTTCTCTGTGTAATTGCAGCTGATCTGGTAATAACAGAGCAGCAACCGTGGGCGGTCAATCTGATTTGATTTTGATTTTTGATTAACCATTCGACAGATATAGGAATCTACTTTCAAATGAACAAAGAAAGTTGCCTGATTGGACTTGCATTTGGTCACCCGGATCGGAAAAACCTATGACTCCTGAGCATAATGCGTATCGATTCATGTTGGCATGGCTGGTTCTCAGCAATGCGTCCATCAAATTTTTGACTTGTCAGTTTAACAGATAGGGAATCGATTGGACTTGTAGTTGGCCAGCCGGACCGGGAAAACTAGTGAGAGGATTATGGTCTGAAGATTCCCGGAAAACCCCGTGTACGGTCAATTCTTGAAAGCCAGCCTACTGTGTTACCTGACTTATAACGAATATACGTTTTATACGAGTACCCCTAATACAACGTATGACTCGTCTAATTTTGCATAGCATTTGCAATGTAAAATTAGACGAACTATACGTTGTATTCGGGGTACTCGTATACAACGTATATTCGTTATAAGTCAGGTAACACAGTAGAGATAAGAGATTTTTTGTAATTTGCATAGAATATTGAGCATAGATGAAATATGCAATCTTCATACCGATTCTGTTACTGGGGGCAGGAAAACGAATCTCCAGATATCCGGAATCATCGGGAAAACGGTTAATCCTTGAAAGTTATCCTAGAAATACACGATATTTTTTTATAAATTGCATAGAATCTTGAGCGTAGCTATAACATGCAATCCTCAGACTGGCCAGAAAACGGTTCTATAAATATAGCGATTCACCGCAAGTTTTTTCAATTTTTAATTTTTGTATGAGACATGTGCGGTTTTGTTGAAATGCATACAATTTTGAGCAAAGATAAAAAATGCTATTTCAATACCGATTCTGCTGCTTACTGTCTTTATTCCTCAAGCATATGTAATCATCCTGTTGGATTATGTCTCCTTCATGGTCATAAATTAGCTTGTAATTAATGGTGTCCATTTGCGTGCGTTCAAATAATTTTTTTGGAAAATAAAAAATGGCAGTGGACTCAATCAGCAGCGAGCAAGGGAATCCCCAGTGCATATTTAAACTGAAAACTGATGTTGAGGAATCCCTTGGCAGCTTGCTGTCATTGCCTTTTTGACATTCCTATTTCAAGTCACTCATACACATGTACGCTATAGCCGCTGTATTCATAGTCTGGCGGATAGAATTTTCATTTATCAAAAAGCTGAACCAATTCAATATATTGTAGACCAACAATTGAAAACGTTGGTTCCCGAGATTCTATCCGCCAGACTATGCATATAGCGACTATAACGTACGTAACATTTCAGTTCACCGCGAGAGTGATAGTTTGAAGAAACTAACCCAGTTTCGAACCTGGTTCACCAAACTAAAACGGCATAAGTGGGCCATGGTTCAGATCATTTCATATTATGAGAATACGTTCTTCTAGCAAGTCGACCGAAATCGAGATGCTTGCAGTTTCCTTAACACGTCGCTATCAATCATAGTACCGTGCCAGCACCATATTTGACGCGGTTCCTAATGGTGACGGACTTGTCTATTTTTAATCGCATTTCGATTTTGGCAAGTTATTTTTAAAAGCTTTGCTACCCTATCATCTTAAGAGCACTGGAACTAATATTTGCAACGTAACCCTTTTCAAAAATATTAATGCAACATAGTCGAAAATGATCGAGTGCGTCGAGTTAGGAACCGCGTCAAATATGGTGCCTTCACGGTAACTTCCCAGTTACCTCTTTAACCGATTACTTGACCCTTGCCATATTTAAATTGGAGATTTTTGAAAAGTTGGATGGTTTCCTTAACCTGTAATATTTCTGGAAAACGACTAGAAAACCAGGGAATATCATAAATATAATTTTTCATCACTGCATCAACACCCTGCTATTGAGTTTACTCCTATCTGTCATCTTTTGTATGCCTTCAGTTTGCAATAAAAAAAAAGCATCACGCTTAGCCAAACAAACATTGCCTTGCTAATCCAAATATGTCCAAATCAACCTTAAGCCTATCCACATCAACTGGAATAAATATCCAGATAAGCACATTCGCACCAAAAAAAAAAACGTACTGTGGCGCTACACTCCGTCACATGTGCAGCGTTTTTTCCCACCCATATTATGCCTTTTCGCGCACCATTGCATCGATAAGAAGCAACGATGAGGCAGGAATTTCCTGGAATTGTTATTGCCCAACGAACGCCATGACATCACACACAACCGCACCCGATGCTCAACTCCCGCGAGCTTCAAGGTCTTTTCGCTTTTTGGAAGTTATGCGTTTCGGGCAGAATGCAGGCCCCAAATAGAAAGACAAAAAAAAATGTGGGTCGGAAATGAGTTGCATATTCCTACTTTCGACTCGCGAACGAGTATGGTTTTGGTTTGTTGATTCTCCGGGAACACATTGGATGATAAATTACGACCAGTCAATGTTTACTGCAACAGAGCAATATACTGCTTTCATGCGGGGGGTTCGGTTCCCTATATTTAGATTACGCTGAAATTGGGTCACTGGTGGCATGGTCATGCTAGTGCAGCTTGCTTTCAAACGTAGATTAGTCATTTGGAGTTTTGGAACACGATCTAATGTTGACTTGTTTTGTTTTTTCCTTGCAGGAACCGTCTTCAACGCTCACAAGGTAATCCTGGCGGCATGTTCGAAGAACTTTGCCGACCTGTTCGAGCGGGCCCCAGTCGGCACCGGACAGATCTGTGTGATGCTCGAGGCAACCTCGGCGGACAACATGCACGCTCTGCTGGAGTTTATGTACAAAGGTGAAGTGCACGTGTCACAGAAAGCGCTGGAGAGCTTCCTAAAAGCCGCCGAGAATTTGCAGGTAAGTGCGACTTCTCCACGGCAATTTCCCCGGTACCAAATTTCTTCTTCTCCACCCGCAGGTCAAAGGTCTCACGACAGAGCACGGTCGGTTCGCGAGTGCCAATGCTACCCAGTCGCAGCAGCCTGCGTTCCATGAGTCCAACAACCTGCCCTCGCCAGCCGCTCGCCGACAGCAGCGGAATTCACTGTCCGCCTCGTTGGAGTCGATCAACCGGATCGGCGGTAAGAACGAGTCCCTAGCGGGAAGCGGCGGGGGAGGTGGCGGTGCAGGAGGCGGAAGCGGAGGTACCACAACGCCCAACTTCTCGTCCTACCTGCCACCGACCTACATGCCACAGCCGTACGAAACCACGAACCGGAAGCGTTCGATTCGTAGTCCCTTCTATGAGGAAACCACCCGGGGTAGTGTGCTGCGGGACGGTAAGGCCACCGGCGTCGGCAATGACAGCCCGGTGAGTGGCAGTAAAAACTATCGGCCCTCGAGCAGCGGTTCGTCGGCAGCACCGACGGAAGCGGACACGGTACACACGGATCGGGATTCACCGCACCAGTCAAAGTGAGTAGCTGCGGTGTCCTATCGAATTTACACTCTGTCTCTAGTTACTTCTGTTGTTCCGTATTTATGAAGAAAATAATTCAAGAATTGCAAGCTAAAAACTGTGTAAGCCCAATTATGGCTATACGTTGCTATCATAGTTTTGCCAACTCTTTATAGATAATCGAACCTCGAAAAATGTTAGAACGTGCAGGGGTGGTAGTAGATTTGTAATTTATCCACTATTTTCAAGCTGTTTAAGAAGTTAGTTTTTAGTTAGTCTTTTCAACTAAAAGTCACTAAAGTCTGATTTTGCTTTGCTTTCTAGAGCCAATCAAGTTGACGATCCAATTTATTGTGACGGAAGTGTGCTACTAGGGTGATTAAGGGGAAGCTCACCGCTCCGAAAAAAATAATTACGTTTTGATTTTTCTAAAAATATTGGAAAAAGATATCAAAATTAAAAAACAATCACATATTTTTTAATTTTTCAAAGAAAATTCACGTGCAAAAACATTTTTTATAAGTCATTATGGCATAAAGTTGGACTCAAAAAACCACAAAACATCAACTTTTCGGTTTTTCTGAGAGTCCAATTTTTTTCATGATGGGATAGAAAAAATTTTTTTGCATGTAATTTTTGACAAAAATTTAAGGAAGAAACTGATTTTCTTGGATTTTTGATAATTTTTCCCAATATTTTTAGAAAAATAAAAACGTACCGGAAATATTTTTTTATTTTTGGGCCGGTGAGCTTCCCCTTAACTCCATTATTGTTGTTTCGATATTCTCTTGCTTGAAGTCAAATTTCTATGCAGTGCCATCAAACCGAACGCCATTACGTCGAGGGTCAACATGAGCAGCAACAAAAGAACGCATGATCCATTGTTCATGCAAAATTCCAAATATGATTGCTACAATGTTCCTCGAAAGAACCGCTCGCTTTTTATAGAAAAATTCGGTTTAGAAAATCTTAAACTAGAAATGCCTGCAGATAGACATTAGGCTAGGATTGTTGATTTGTCACAGTCAGTATCCGGGTTTTCAAAGGGCACAATCGGATCCGGTACGTTTGGCATAAGGAAGTTTGCCATGATGGCATAATCGGCTGTATATTTACATATTTTGGAAACTTATAGCGAATTTGTTTATTATTCAGTTCCAACCTGGATCAGGTATCAAGATAAGGATTGCGCGATCTTCAGAGAAAGATCAATCTTGAAGGATCGATCTTATGTTTAGCTCTAGGATCGATTCACTGAATAAATCAATTCCAAAGTATTGATCTTTGGTAGATCGATTTTTTGATTTTTATTTTAATACGGTTGTTTACGGTGGTACCCCAACCAGTTCTTTCCTTTATGATATTCAATTAAATGTTGTCGTGACGATAAGGAGCAATCAGGGTTACTTCCACTCACTTGCTATAAAAAAATGTTTTTTTTTTATCAGAATTATGAAATAATTAGTTACTTTAATGATAATAAGTACTTGTAAGTTACAAGAAGAGATCGTTAAGTATGTGTTTGACACGTAAAACCTGTCAATATTGCTTTCAGTGCGTCGCAATAAGCGATTTTACGATTCGTGAGCACTCACTCTGAGTGAACGCTCTCGAATCATACGATCGCTGATTGTGCGCTAGCGCAAGCGAAATTGACAGGTTTTATTAGTCAAACACATACTTTACATCCTCTTCTTGTTACTTACAATAACAACATATCGTTTCATTATCTAAAAATGTCATAATTCAAAGAAAAACAATTTTTTATAGCAAGTGAGTGAAAGCTACCCTGGGAGCAATGAGCATAGCAGCACATAACATATGTGGAACTCGATCATCAAAAATCGACCCCATTTCAGTGATTTCAAGTGATATAGAAGGACATCAATCTGTCAAATTACTGGTATAATTATTGATTATACCAGCTGTAAATGAGTAAGGGGTAGTCAATTTTATTAAAATAATTCTATCGTAGTTTATAATGATGTGTCTTTTTAGTAGTCCTGAACTCATCTCTTCATATTTCCTTAACAATATACCTTCTTTATTTATAATAATATAGCTAGCTTTAATAAATTCATTCATTCACACAGCAAAATATTAACTTTTGCATTAAAAAAGTAGACATTATTTGCAAATTTTTTATGCGATGCCTACCCGAGCAAAGTCGGTTAACAAAATGAAAGCAAATCGATATTAAAGTGTGCAGTTCTTATCATAATGAAAACTCATTTTGATTTCAAATGTTGCGACATAAGTCTGATATCATATTGTGCTTTCATTATGCAGTCCAGACGTTTTAAATGAAAGCAACTTAACTTGAAGTTCTGCTGTTTACGTCTTGTTTAAAATTTAATTGAAATTCATCTGTCGTTGAACTAATGATTATCGTTAATCTGATTTGTTTAACACATTTTAGGTCATTCGTGACTTGCCCGCGGTGAGATTGGAGCCTAAGTCTTTCAGCTTGAGAAACATGAATGATAACCATTTACTCTAGGCCCGTATTCAGTTAAACATTATGAATGCAAAATCAGTAATCAAATTGATTTCATTGAAAGCAGGATTATTTTTCCGTTTGCTTCAACAGTGTAAAATTTTGCTCTCATTTTTGCTGTGTTAACCGTTAAGTCAACCAAAATGAGATCAACTGGAGTATTCAAAATAAGTTACATCATAACAGCAAATTTTGATTTCAATTTGATCTTCAGCTTTGCTCGGGTAGCCACCCAGCTATTTACAGCCCAATTTAGATATCAAAACGTATTGTTTTTCTGAAATTATAGCCAAAAAAGTTTGGAAACTCCACGCGTTCATTTCTTCTAACTCTAAATTTGCGCGGATTCATTTTTTTCAAAATGTACGTACCATCTTTTCTTTGGACATTTTTTTTTGTAACCAACCCAGACAACCAGAATGCACGTATATTCAAAGTTGTTTTCGTGATATACAAACATATATACAAACAAACAAGTCGTATACAATGCAAAGAAATGGCTTATACGTACAAAAGTGGAGGCCCTATACGTGCATATTTTCGTTTAATTTTAAACGAGTAGATTTAACATCATATACGATTTAATCTGTAATAACAAATTTATTTTTAAAAGTCTTACGATGTAATCCGATTCAATTTGTGATACAATACGACGGAAAAATGAGCCATCGCATATAAGTCAGAAATTTTCATTCTATACGATTTAATTTAAACATAATGCGAGGTATGCCATTCTTATATGCGATTTTGACTTAACTTGTAGCAATTTACGATTCTGTCTGTACATTGTTATACGACTTCTGGTTGTCTGGGAATTGCATATATCTTTGATTTCATAAGGTTTCGTTTGAGAAAAAATACGACTGTGCAAATTTGGAGTTAAGTGCATACATGTTTAAGTCCAGAGAGCAGCAACAAAATCTTCGAATTTTTAGCATTACATTGCATTCAATTAACATAATATCCGTTATCATTGCAATACAATTCAACCAGGTTGAAGAGACGTAGAAATATTGCATCTGTAAAAAGGTCAATAACTGTTTAACAACGCTCATGATTGACTTCTGATCGACTAGAAAATACTAGTGAAAATATCCTTTGAAAAGCTCCCCCGAAAAAAGAATAGCCGCATTATCAAATGAGCTGTAAACAGCAAACTCTGTAAACCATTTAAATAGTGGATGAACAAAAGAGACGATAAATTCTCTGGGCCTCACCTCTTTACACTCATTGCGCATTATCTTGACAATTGACAATACGCCTTTTTGTTCACTCTGTAACTCTTTACTCCTATGGTAAAATCCATAAAATCACATAAGCAAACATCAGTCTGGCCGTGAAACATGGTTAAGATTTCTTTACCCTTTCACTCATATGAAAATCCCATAAGATACTGTCAATCTTTCCGTGAAAAGACGGCGACTTGCTCGTACCATGGTGGAATGAAGAGATAAGACAAAGTCCTAGACTAGACTTCATGCACAGATTGTCAGATGATTATGAGATTTTACCATAGGGGTAAAGAGTTGCAGAGTCGCCGTCAACATCAATGCTTACTGAGCATGCAACCAACAATCAATACGAAACTATCGATTTTAAATTGGCTCACTACTTGACTAGCCTATTGGTCCCAAGCAAATCGATTAACCTACCCCATTCTAGTCGAAATTCTAGTACTACACAATGTTTGTTTTGATTTGCTATGAAAGTTTGACAGATACAATGAGGGGTTCGTGGGTTTTCCTATGTTTCGAGGGGTGCATCGATTTGCTTGGGACAGAAGATAGTACCAGATCTGAGCCAAAAAGTTGAGCATGCTTCTTCGTGACCTACTAGTCTTAGAGTTACCTCTATGATGCAACCTTATATCTGCTTTTCTTTCTTTCACAAGAGCCAATGTCGCAAACGTAAACAATTACTCTCTCGGAGAGTAATCGGATTTCTCGAGAATGAAAACTCACTCAAATAAACCACCACGATGATTGTGTAGAGCTAGAGTCCTCCTATCCGATAGAATTGGTGGCTTACATTGATTGACTTTGAACTACGAGAAATTTACGAAAGAAGCCATGGTTTACGTTTTCGACATCACAAAAATTTTGTTTTGACAGATCGATGCCCAACTATGCCAGTTATACCACTGAGGCATACACAAAAAAGGGGTCAACTCTGGCATAACATTTGATAACGGCACAAAAGCATTTGTAAACAAACATTCTAAGGCCCTTTACACGCGAACCAAAGTACGTCCACGCAAACCAATACCACTTTCGGAAAGGTGATAGGTACCCCTATCCGATGATGTTGTTGGTTTGCGTGGGCTTTCTTTGGTTCGCGTGTAAAGGGCCTTAGAAAGTTGGTTAACAAATGCTTTTGTGCCGTTATCAAATGTTATGCCTGAACTTTTAGTCATCTAGTTTGCATGAAGTTCCACATATGTTATGTGACAGCAGGGAGGTAGCACAAACCTTCAAGTGTTGCTGTATTCGTAAATATCGGAATCGCAAATAGTGACGTCATTGCACTGTACACGGAGATGAAAAACTACCCAAAATTAAGTACTTTTCCCTCAATTCCGGGGTTCAGCCCAATAACCCAAATTTGAGTAAATCGCATATAGTAGTTTCCATTTAACACCAGCAAAAAAATTACCTACTCTTAAGTATATTCTACCCAAAATTAAGTTTAATTCACGTAAATTTGAGAATATGCAATTTATTAAAAGTAACTTATTGGGCTGAACTATATCGTTGGGTCGAATCTCTCGTTCCTTTTTTGACAACAATAACGAGTGCAAGTGAGAGGCTGAAGTCAATATTAAGTAAAAAGAACTCAAATTTTGGGTAGTATTTTTTCTCCGTGTAGGGAGCGATGCTGATGTTGACGTTATGTTCGTTAAATTTACCATCATCCGGAAAATCGGAAATTAGGATGAAAAAGATCGATCTTCTAAAGATCGATCCAAGATAGCCCAATCCTTAAGTAAGTTGTGTCAGTTTTGAGTAGTTTTAACTTGACGTTGAGTGAAAACAACTTAAAAGTAAGTAATCCTATTTACATGCGAGTGAGTGACAACAACGCAAAATTGAGTAGGCGCTAGAACTCTAAATTGAGTTGGCGCACGGAACTTCCTACCTGGGTTAAAATAACTCAAACTTAGGTACTTTTTTCTTTCCGTGTACCTCAGGTTGAGATTCGCACTGACAAAAAGCTCGGTTTTGCACAATAAAATTTCCTTTTTTCAATTGCTGCGATTGGTGAAGTGAGCACGGTCTGGAGTGTAACAAGGAAGACAAAAAGAAAACTAAACTAAACTTAACAAGGAAGACACATATCCCAAGTAACATTGCAAGTTTTATAAAGATTTTAAAGCATGCTACAATTCTAAATCATGGTCTCGAGAACCCTCATAAAACCAAAATTGTTACTTGGGATCTGACGATATGTAGTGGTGGTAGATTCTCATTAAACGAGATTGTGTGTTCAGCCCAAGAATTTCTTCCAAATTTGCAATTATAAATGTGTTTGTCACTCCGCATTTGATTAGTATTCTGAGAGAGAGAGCTCACAGAAACGGTTTGGGGGGGGGGGGGGGGGGGGTGTTACTCCTGCCAGAACCTCGAGACTCATGTTATGCGTTGAGTGCATACTGCCAAGAGCAATACGCAGACAACGGTATCGAATTCGTTCCAATTTTATCAGGTGACATTTTCTTGCCGAGAGAAAGCAGAAAGAGCCGTACTCTAGAACAGAGAGAATTGTTGTTTTATAACGCGTTATGATATGAGGTCTCCCGGATGAGCACCCCACCATGTGCCACAAATTGAATGGAGAAAGTTGATCCTCTGTTGGCATTTTTGCTTCAAATACGTAATATGGGTATTCCAAGTGCGCTTTGAATCAAACCAGACCCCAAGGTACTTGAGTAATGTTTCTGCCCTAAATATTAAGCTGCATTTGGGCTGGGTGCCGCTTTCGAGTAAACACTACCAGTTCAGTTTTCTGCGGCGAGAATTCGATCCCTAGATTGCTAGCCCAAGACGACAAGTTATCTAAGGAATTTTGCAATGGTCCTTGCAAGTCCACGGCATGTGGACCTCTTACGGAAACCTCACCGTCGTCTGCAAGTTGTCTTAGCGTGCATTTTTCTGCCAAACAGTTGTCGATATCTTTGACATAAACATTATAAAGAAGAGGGTTTAGACATGAGCCTTGGGGCAGGCCTATGTAGCTATGGATTTGGATGTTAATCATTTTCAAGGTAATTTGCTCCTCAAATGAAAATGCATAAATATTTTAAAATAATGTTTCAGGGAAGCTGTGGCACTTTTATTAATTAGAATCTCATAATGTTCACTATATTGTCAGAATTTATACTACCAAGTAAATGAAGAGGATACATTGTTATTTTTTTCCAATGGTACACAGTTGATAAAGACGCTGCTACGAAGCAAGTCTATGCTGAAGGAAGCTGGGTTCGATTCCCGTCCGGTCTATTAATTTATCGTTTTCCTTGGGTATAGGATTGTACAGGCATAGAAAGCTCTCTATAAAATGTGGAAGCGCTTCAAAAACACTAAGTTGAGAGCAAGCAAACAGCTAATCAAATTTTGCAATAAGCGTGAAATTCCATGTAGTAGTAATACAAATGACATTTTTAAGTAATGAAAATAGTTTTTTTTTTTATCTATCGCGGATTAGGATATAAAGTCGCGGATTCCTTTTGAGAAATCGAGGATTCCGCGGATAAAATTTTGAAGATCTTGTTACAGCTGTGCGTTTTGAAAAAAAAATAGGTGTGTTCCAGCCGAGTTCCAGTTCAAACTTGGTTCATTGCCTCTAGCGAACAATTATACGAAGTTTCAGAAGGTAAAATCTAGAATATGTTTATTTTTTAGTTATTTGGCCTGGAACTGCTCCATAAATGACAATCACTGTGTTTTCAATACAATGTAATCAAACCAAGAAGTGCACGCCCATCGGTCTCATAAGAAAGTTGTCGCCAGCACTATAACCATAGAGGTAACTCTAAGACCAGAAGGTCCCGAAAAAACGTGCTAAACTTTTTGGCTCAGCTCTGGTACTCTCTCGGTGCCAAGCTAATCGATGCACACCTGGGAGCATAGGAAAATCCACAAACCCCTCATTTTATCTGTCAAACTTTCATAGCTAATCAAAACAAACATTGTGTAGGTAGTACTAAAATTTTGACTAGAATGGGGTACGTTAATCGATTTGCATGGGACCAGGGAAGGGGTTGAAACGGTTGACGTTTTTTACTACACTCGCTTCGTTGTCGTGCGTGACAGTTTGTTTGTATTCGTACTCTCATGTTCTACCGTCATCCCTCCTACACAACACTAGCGGTAGAACAACATTCGAGCAAAAATAAAATTATCAAATAACTATCATATGACATGTGTGATTTCGTTCTAATTCTTCTGATCAAAAATGTTATTACTAGGACATCGTTGCTTGCTTTTTTTTCAGAATTCACACAAGCACAACATCAGCAGCTCTTATTATGAGGAAAACTAAAATACATACATTCGCGACGGTCTTCGGCGACACTGTCGTATTACAGAGCCTGTCATATGACATTTTAGTTTAGTACTGCAATTCGATAGCTTGTTTTGCAACTGTCGGAAGCATAGGCAGTCGATTATCACAGAAAATGTGTCGACTACGGTGACCGCTTACAAGACTGGCCTAGGTCATGAAATTAGTTTTCAATCGATGTCTCAGAATCTTTAGAATACTTTTTAATCCACGATATTGAAGTTCTAGGCACGGAATCTTAAACATTTTCAATGTTTGAATGTTCTAAATGGTTTATTAGGAACTCATCTTTGGATTTCTTTGCAAATTTGTCAAGGATTTGTTTAGGACCATTCCAAAAAGTCTTCGTTCAAATTTGGCTTTGAGTCGTGTTGAATCCTCATGCAAATGAGCGCTAAAAGACGCCCTATTTTCAGCAAGTTCACAAATCCGAACAGGATAATTTAGAATGCACGCAAGTCATACCTCAGCATTGCTCATCGTTTGGAATCAATTCCTTCCAGTTTCCTTGAACATTGGTTGGGCAATATCAAATAAAATCACAACTATTCTAGTTTGTCTACCGTTCGGCATTCGTGCTTCCGGCTCAGCTCTTCGTAGTTTGCCGTGATGTGTGCAGTGTTAATTTCTGATGTATCATATTTTACGAACACGAGACACTTTCGATCTGCACTCTCTCATTCGGATTCGAGTCATCATTTTCTATAACGTGTTTTCTTTTCCAGTCGCTACGAAAATCACAGTCCCAGCACGACCCACCACGGCAACGGAAACGGACCAGTCTCATCGAACACGTTAGAACGGGACGATCGGAGTGATCGGGCGCCTTCCGAGGACAAAATCAAAATCGAATGCAAGGAAGGAAACGACGTAAGTTACTACTAAGTGATGCTTGGTTTAGTTCGACTTGATCATCTATTGATTTGTTATTTGCAGACCGGTGCCGAGGATCTGCGAATGAAATCGAATGAAATGCGACCGATCCAGTCACCGCTGACGTCATCCGCCCCGCCAACGCCGACGACACCCGTCACCTTCTTGAAAGGCGGCCTGCCCGGAGGACTGGACGGACTGACCCCCACCGTCGATATGATAAGTATGTTGAACGTCCAGCGGGAAAGTGTAACCACTGCGGACGGTAAGAATCCACTTCATTCAAGCTTGATCCGCATCGACTAACACTTAACACGCACGTGTTGTACACACATCCCAAAAAAAAAAAAAACCGATCATCAAATTGATTGCAATTACTCAAATTCGAACCTCCAGCCAAGTAAAGACTGACATCCCAATCTCTCTAATCCCAGGTTCTCTCGCTCCAGGCAAAAAGCTACAGTGTCCCCTCTGTGATCGCCAGTACGGCTACGAAACGAACCTACGCGCCCACATCCGCCAGCGACATCAGGGTATCCGTGTGCCATGTCCCTACTGCAGTCGAACGTTCACCCGCAACAACACTGTCCGGCGACATATAGCCCGGGAGCACAAAACGCAGACGACGTTCATGCCGAACCAGCTGCACAGTTAAGATGGTTGCTGCTGAAGACAACGCTGAAAGAAAGAAACAAACGAACGACAAAACTGCCAGCAGACCATCCGCAATCAGATCATCAGAACAATGAAGTAGAAAGCAAAACTCGCGAGCATTGAAGCTACCAGTTCATGGTGGCAACAAGTGATAGGGAAAACTAAGAGCTGAAATCCGAAATTTATTTCGCAAACAAACTCTGAAATAAATAGCATAATAATTAGAGGCAATGAGAGAACGAGAGAGAGAGAGAGAGAGTAGGAACATGAAATTGGCACTGCTGAAGACAAAACAGCTTAGATGATGGCCGGAGCGAACAAGTTCCGGCATATTTTGAGATGTATTTCGCGCTATTCTCACTAGTGATATGAAATGGTTTGAGGAAGGTGTAATGCCGCTCTAAAAGCCATACCAACCAATGTTACCGGATGCAAACCGAATGCAATATTTAAGTTTTTTTTTCCCATGCAAGCTTTTCTCCCCTGAGATGTTTAATCCTTTTTCATTTTATTTTTTTCATTAAAGTTCCTTTGTTGTTACACATTTGAACTGAATTTCTTATTTTCTGCCTAAATCAACTCTCTGTTGCAGGGAGAGTTGGAGACTTTCTTCCACCTGTTGATGGAGGAAAGAAAGATAAACATAATCACCGCAAGTGTCATTATTTAATAATTTAAAGAAAAGTAATAAACATAGTTGAAGGTATGAACAAAAGAACACGAACGTAACTGATACATACAGAGGCAAGTTTCAGTTTTCGCGCGCGCAATTAAGCCACACATATAAGGAAAAAAAAAATGGTCATCTATATCAACGGAAGATGCTAATTTTCTCACACAACAGAACTATTGAAGTAACTAAAAGTAATAGACGAGAAATAAATAATGAATATACACAGTACCTGCTGAGAATAAGGAAAAATAGATTAATGAAAAATATTTAAATATAAATATATGGATAAATATTTAAATATATTGTAACGTAAGCGCGGTTGCAAGTTGAAACGGAACTAATTGATAAAAGAAAACACAAACACAACAAAAGACATTTCAATTACTAAGCAAAGCAGTGAAGGGTAAATGTTTAAATTGTACAAAAAAAAAAGAAAGATACCAACCAATCAACAAGCATAGCAGAACAGAAACAGATACAGAAAGAGACGTTAAGGAACTTATTGATTTTCAACAGAGTTAGTTTTGTTTTGTTTTACTGCAACTTTAAAGCATTAGGAGAATCTTAACTTTAACTGCGCAAAATAGTATGAAACTGGGTGCCTACTAAAAAGAGAAACTACTACTACTTTATCCTACTACTGCATCTACTACGACGACAGCCGCAATAATACCCAATTCTATTACCGAGTAATAGACAAACCCCAAAATAGGCAAATCAATAGAACTAGTTACTTGTTGAATCCGATTGATCTCATTTTTAAGCAAATCTTTAACGTTACAATATATAAAGACCAATTACTCAATCAATAGCCATGGTGCATCCCTATTAATACTTAGGACCGTTATCAGCAGCACATGGCAGCATTGCTTCGATGCTGCCAGTTGCCTGTTTTGTTTTACACCGTTTTAGTGATCCACTACTACAGTTAGTTCTCGGATAGTGTTCGTTCCGTTCCCGTGATTACAACCCCCGATTTTTTGGCGAAAAATACATCTCAAAATTTTCAGGATAAACTGTTTACAATACAAAACGAAACGCAGCCATTTTTCTGTTGGTAAGATATAAAAAAAAAACAAACAAACACACACATACACACCGAAAAGGTGTAACTTTGTTTTTCTGAGCTTTTGTTTGCCGATCAGAATAGGAAGCAGAGGGCTGCGTCCAGAGCGCAGAGCCTCTAATGGATGGGAGGAGGCGGAAAATAATAAGAAATTCAACAATCAAAACTGATGTGCTCATATTAATGTGTAAGTTTGTCAAGCAAAACAGTCGAAGCAAAATGTATCGAAATGAAAGTATAAACAAAACAAACAAACAAAAAAACGGGAAGAAAAAAGAGCAAGCGCAATGCGAGCGAGAGCGAGAGCGAGAATGGAGATCCCGATTGGATCTGTCTCCTTGGAAGCAAGCAGGACGGGATGGAAGGCGATTGCACATTCGGAGTGCTGCGCAAAAGTGCTTTGTTGTCATTTGTTTTTAGTGTGTTTTTTTTTTTAGTTTAGGTGCAAGATGCATCTCGTTAACCGGAAGTTACCCTAACACCTTTGAAAGGTAATAGATTTTAGTTCGTTTTTATTTTGCACTGCAACTGAGAAGCTAAACGGGATGAATGCGCAAACTTTTTAACCTCACTTTTTTTTTGTTGACCGTTGTTGGGTGGACATTGCATCTGTTTGCAATATGTAGGGTTAGGTGGGGCAAGATGGGTTCCGGGGAAATTTATATATTGTCAATACTAGAAACACTGGAATAAGAGACCAGTGGAGAAAAAAAACATGAATTTCTCAACAAGATAAACATCAAAGCAATCGTGGCATCACTTGCATTTGTAACTGCTTGCGAGTGACTTCGCCAATGCACCGACGAGCGAGTTCATGAGTGATTGTTAAATGATTTTAATACTCCTCCCTAATTAAGGTGGTTCGCTGTGAGATCATTATTCTCGCTACCACTTCGAAACTTTAAGTGCACAAATATCAGCTTCCACGGCACGTACTACAATGAAACTGTTACTCCACGTTTACTGCGCTGCAGCATACATGCAGTAGCAATTTCAGGTGAAATGGAACTCTAATTTCCGAGATTTGTGCATTTAAAAATTCGAGGTGGAAGTGCATTTATAGCCTACGTGGTGACCATTTGTGGACTCTACGAGGAATCACCTTAAAGCAAACCATTTGTAAACGTTGCAGATTGGAACCGCTTTTGACAGTTCGATTGGAATCATAACAGTGTCTCCGCTGGTCTCTTATTCCAGTGTTTCTAGTCAATACTCAAGATATATTACCGATAATGCTGATGGTGTAAGGAAAAACAGAAGTATGGATTGAATATTTTTCACGCTTTTGTCGGTAGAACGGGTTCAGTTTTGAAAACAGCTTCGAAGATAGGTAGAAAGTATCGGCCAAATCCGGACCAACTCAAAATATCGGTGAAATGTGGGTAAATTTAATGAACTGAAATATGGATATTCATTCTACATTTAAATTAGGAAATTTAATCAATATTATCTAGATAGAGCTGGAATTAGTGCGTAACAGCTTTTGTAAACAATGACTTCTACCGATGACTTCTATTAATTCAAGGCACGCCCACGCAGACCAACCTACCCGATGAGGATGTTGGTTTGCGTGGGTGAGCCTTGAATTTCTAGAAATCATCAAGAGAAGTCATTGTTTACAAAAGCTGTTAGGCCCTAATTCCAGCTCTATCTAGATTTGAGTAACTTTGATGCAAATCTCACTACAGTTTACCCATGTTCAAATTGCCAACGGAGATTTTATAAATTTAATGTAGGTAAACTTGATCAATTTTAAGGGAGTGATGCCCTTTCGTCCCCCCAAAAAATTTCGGATTCCGACATAAACTGTACGAAAAAAGTCGGGTTGCCCCCTTTTCAAAATTCAAGCCAAGTTGGTGCTACTGGACATAGCTTATCACCTCTTCATTATTCCCCAAGGAAAATGATGATGAATTTTTGAAAACACCCTCTTCTTTCCTCTTGACGATTATTTGAGGACTGCGAACCGGATCTAGTAATGCTCAAGCAAAAACATTTCTTGAGCATTTCTTGTAGTACACTGAAAATAATCCTCACGTGAAAACAAATATGTACTAAGATTGTTTCGTCCAGGTAGATTGAGCTATTAACAAAACGTGTAATTTCGTGCATACTTTTTCACATTTTGCTATTCAGGCAGTTGTGGACGTAGGTGCTTGTTGAAGACTCCATGTATTTGTCTTGCTTAGGGGAAGGAAGGGCGTAGTGAACTTCCTGTGCTTTAGCCTTGGATTTCTTATGATTCGAAACAAATTAATTGGTCATTAATCATTGCAATTGTGATATCGAACGCAGTACGAATTCTAGATAGAGCTGGAATTAGGGCGTAACAGCCTTTGTAAACAATTACTTCTCTCGTTGATTGCTCGGAATTCGATGGTGTTTTCGATTTGCCAGGGAGAGCCATAATTCCGAGAAATCATCGAGTCATTGTTTACAAAACTGTTGCGCCCTAATTCCAGCTCTATCTAGAATTAATTTGTTTCGAACAGTTAGAGGTTTGGAACTGGAGTGCTGGATGCTCATTATGCCCCACCTGTTCACTATGCCCCTCTTACCCCTTATTCATTTTATTTCGATACAAATTTAGTAAATTCTTCAACGCACGACGTGTAAAAATATACATCATTGTGAATCTCAGGTAATCATGACATTTTGATTTTTGAAAACATCTCGATTGAAAAAAGAGACCTTACAGCGTCAGGATCTGTCATGATTGCCTGAGTTTTGTCAAAAAATGAAAATATTTACGCTGTGTGCAACGAAGAATAGCAAAACTGCATATGTTAGTCGCTGACAATTGACATCCCTTATAAACGGATACCATTCATTAACGATATCATAGATGATAGGACCATACCGCATGATAACCCGAATTTGTGGTTAGGCGCTTCTTATGTTTATTATTTATGCGGGATGCCTTGATAATCATTTTTTTCGAGTGAGTGACGAAAGCTGTTTTGTCAGTAACGCATTTTATGATCGAATGAAAATGATGCTCAGTCACGTCACACAAAGCCACTTGTCCGTCCAAATGGTTTAATATATTGTTTCAAGCATTCCTATTGTGCATTTTGTACCTTACTAGACTCCTGTGCTAAACAATACGTTCTCAGTTATATTTTCGTACTGATCACACAAGTTTAAAAAATACCTAGAGCATTTTGCAGCTCGAGTACTTTAAGTGTGAATTACCATTATTATACTTAAGCTTCTACTAGCTGCATTTTTCTTGCACAATAGTCTGAATTGGTGTAAAATACGATGTAAGTTTGATGAAATTTGGTACATAGGGCTACGGGATGTTCATGTGATAATGGTAAGCTTAGTAACTGTAAATCCACTCTGACAGTCAGCAGGTGAATTATTTGTTGAGTTATGATTAAAATCATAATTCATAGCTGCTTCCCTAATAAAAAAAAACTACCATAGCCAAACGATAACCCAGATGATAGAACTATTTCACATATGGTTTGGGTGATACCATACCATACCATACATACATACATACACACACACATATTGTATTAGCAAAGAAGAATACTAAGATGAAACAGACGGAAGAAAAACTTTCTATTTTAGTGTCCTCTTTCACGGTCCCTTTCATCCAATGAATACCCCCCGTATGCAAGGTAATTTTGTGGTTTTGCTGCCCCCTCGGTAGAGATGAAATTAAGCGCTCTTTTTTATCGAAACAATCACACCAAAATCAGAGATGTCCCATTTTTTAAATTATTCGATTAACAACTTATCGATTATTTTCTGTTCGCTGTGCTGTCATTTTTCCACCAATGAGAGTGCAGCATATGTTTGAAACGATGGGTGATGATCCTCTGAAGAAGTTAATGCTTATATCAGCATGATATAAACGATTACAAATATTTTACTTTTCGGTTCGTTAATCGATTAATCTATTATTCGAATGAGAATCGGCCATCACTAGATGAATGGGAAACGTCATTTCAAATTTAAGGCCTTACATAAATAATGATACAATTTGAAAGGGACCGGGGCTAATAAAAAATTACGTCCGAACAGTAACTGAAATAAACCCGAGTGCGGACCGGTTGGTATTAGGGCTAGGGGCTGCGATAGTTTTTTTTTAAATTCTTGACAACCCCCCCCCTTCCACCCACCACCCCACGTAGACACAACACATTACATTATTTACAAAAGCTGATACATCCTTTCGAAAAAGTAATCGAGATTTCTCGATTGCTTTTGCTCGACTATTCGGTTTTATTTCAGAGCGGGTTTGAATCAAGAATGGAACTCTGTTTCAAATTTCTTCTTGTTTCAAATGTTCAGTGAACTTCATAGAAATTGAGAATATTTTACAGAAATTTTGGAATTTTACAGAAACTTTGGGACTTCTGAGAAGTTTGAAGATATTTCATAGAAGTTCGGAGAACTTCATTTAAATAACGAAGAGCTTCACAAAAAAATCGGAGAACTTCATAGACAACAGTGAACAGTTTTTAAGTTTCAGGGAGTATCATTCTAGCTTAGGTAATTTCAAAGAAGTGAGAGGTATTACATAAAACATCGGGGAACAACATCGTAGTTCTAAGAATTTCATAGTATATTTTAGAAATCCATGGTTCTTCACAGAATTTCATGAAAGCGCTTGCGGTTTTTTACATCAAGAAGATATTTTCTCATATGATACCAGGCTGCTCAGAAATTATTCCAACGATCTGCAGGTGCTCTGAGATCTCCATGAAGTCTTTTAGATATTTTTTCAAGGCTTCGGGCTGATCAGGTATAATTAGGTAAATATCCAACAATCTATATCACATCTCTCAGATATCCTCTCATATGATAAATTGTTTTAAGATGTCTATAAAGTCCTCTGGATACTTTTTAAGACTTCAGATTGATCAGATGAAGATCTCAAACTATCTCCCAGACAGTGTTGGGAAAATATCAAAAAATCAAATCTCAACAACGCCCAAGACCACGCTTGATTTTCGTAGACAAAAATCAACAAGCAAACAACTGCGGTTGATTTTGCAAGC